CTACACGCCCATAGTTCTGCACCAATCCTCAAAAACCACTAAACGGCCATAAATATCCGTAATTTCAAGAGCCAAAAGCAGAACGCCCATAAATTTCCTAAAGGCCCGTAATCACCCGTATTCGCCCGTACAAACCCGTAAAAAACCAAACGACCAAAAATAATTGGGTTGTTGGGGTTCCAGGTTCAGATAAAGACTCGAAAGGAGGCACAGCATCGCAAAGGGGCCTGCGCGCCATTTTTTGTCGGCAGCGCATAGGTGGCGCAGGTGACGTATAGGCAGCGTATGTGGAGGTGGGGGGTGCCGAAGCCGGGCAGCACAGGCGGCGCACAGCCACGCAAGTACAGTTGGGATCACTATTCAGCTCTATGGCACGAGGCCTCGGATGCTTTATTGCGTGCCGCCCACGGCCTTTTATCCGAAGTGCGGGCCCTGGCTCAGCATGGCTCAGCCGTTTTAAGACATCGTCGGAATCCTTCGAGCATACAGCAGCTTGCCAGCTTGGACCCTTTAGCCTGAGACGTCGGTACTTTGAAATGTTCATGCAAGCTGTCTTCGTTGCATACCATAAAAAGATTGCGGTTCCGGATCCAGGGTATCCGGGAAACAGCTTTCGTGCCACCAGTGCCACTGGTGCTGGATAGATATGCAGTCGATAGAAAGCATGACGCGCTCAAATCAAGAAGTGCACAAGAACAAAACTGAGAAGCATCGGCGGACGAGAAGCAAATAAATCTTTTGGACCTTATACTGCTTTGCCTCAGCTTTCCCTTCGCTGCCCTATGAACTCGGGCAGGGTATGGCAGGGTTCAGTCAGTGTCACAGTCAGTGTCACAGTCAGTGTCACAGTCACAGTCACAGTCACAGTCACAGTCACAGTCACAGTCACAGTCACAGAGTCACATTCACCGTGTGAGTAAGAGAGGGAGCGTGTGTGTGTGTGTGTGTGTGTCTCTCGGTCGGTGTCCGTGGTTTTGTTGTGTTTTTCGGCTTTAGGAGAGCCAGCCCTGGCCGTCCTGGGCAGATGGCAGAAAAGAGGCCGCCAGTGCCGGTACAGCTCGAAGCCCTGAAGCTGACAGAACCACATCGCTTCAAGCCGAAACAAAACCCAAGACCAAATCCGCACAAAACTCTCCCCGAAGCCGCCCCAAAGAGAGAAAACGACCAGCTCTACACCCGAGGCCGAAGGTCACCTCTGCCCTGGTGGAGCTCGACTTTCCAGAAGCAGCCCGACTGCTCTGGACGAATTTTGTTGGGGGGCTTTGCTTGGGATTTGCTGGGGCGATGGCTTGACTGGGAACTCGAATCTTGACCCGGAGGGACCTCCATTCAGAATGTGCGCGGTTCTCTAAGAGCGGGGATGTGGCCTTGTAAACTTCCTGAAGTCGCTAAACATGGCCAGGAATGCGCTTCGGCACCCTTCGGCAATTTCAGCTAAACTCAAGCTTTGTCCCCTTTATGTGCAGTCCGGGCTGATCCGCGAAGTTCCGGAAAACCGTTGTTTCGCTTTATGGCCTCGGCACCACCTCGGTTTAGCTTGCTAGGGCGCCCAGAAGTTGCGCAAGCCTGGAGGGCCTAAGAGGGCCTAAGAGGGCCTAAGAGGGCCTAAGAGCCCAGAAGGGTGGATCTACGGGTGCCCAGAGGCCTTAAGAAGCCTTAGCATCCTCCTGTTTTTGCTCGCGCAGGCTTTGGAGGACCTCCCCGAGGCAAGGTCTTGTGACGTCTTCCGAAGGGCTGATCTCCAAAGTACACTCTTGTACTTTGGGTTCTTTCGAGATATCTCTGAAGCTTGTTAGGAATTCAGGAGTTCGGGGTCAGGGATTTTGGATGTCAGGCTGGAACGATTGGGAGTGGCTTTCACTATTTCTTGTCTTCATCTCCAAAGCACCTTACAACCAAAACCAAAAAGCACACACACACACAACCACCAAAGCCAAACAGAACCTGTCTATTTCTTGTCGCCTTCTCAGACACAACCTAAAGGGAACATAGCTAGTCTTTTCTTCTCATTTTTCCTGCAAACAAGAGATCTCCTACTCTTCTACATTCTAAGCGATAGTAAGAACAGTAGCGACGCATGTCTTTTAAGTTGAATTGTCGCCGGAGTCTTCCGCTTACTTTTTTGAGCGAGGATTACCCGCGGGTACGTTAAGTCGTATCTTCTTGTGTGAAGTCGTATCTCGGGCACGTGCACACTGGGGATTCGCAAATTCCACGACAACAGCCCAAACGAGCTCGCCACTTTCTAAACTTAAGCTCCGAGCCCACAAACCGTAAGCCAGGTAGAATGGAAACCCCAAAGGTAAGGTGAGGGCTACTGCTGCACGGAAAGCTGCCCCCTTCAACCCATGGACGCGCGGCCCTCGCAACGGCTCGCGCGGGACTCGCAGAAGCACATACGGTCACTACCCACATATAGACCTTGCAGACAACAAGCGCTTCTCCATCAATTGCTGTCTTTGTGATCACACAAACGTGCTCCCCTCCCAGGCGTGCGGTGACAAATGCATATGTTGCATGTGTGTCGAGAACATGCGCGTGCGGCGCGTGCACATTGGGGGAACGGCTTCAACATATGTCTTTGTGATGCGACTTTACGCGGGGTGATGTGACTTCGCTCGCGGCCGCGTGTCACTGGGGAGATGTGACTTCACACGCAAAGATGTGAGTTAACCTAGCCCCTAGTAGGGCCGCGACAGGGATTAGGCGAGGTGACTTGGAGCCGTAAACGTCTTGCAACTGGTACCTTCAGTTCACTGTGGCAGGGGCGCTGTGATCAGAGCCCGGTTCTTTCTTGTGAGATCTTGTGAGCATCGCATGTAGCTTGTGATCCTAGATGTGTGCACCTGTCGACTTGACAGCGCTCGATTTTCGCTGCGCCCCATCGCGCCCCACCAGCATGACGAGTCCCGTTTCACACCCAGGGACTTAGGGTATTGCGCTAACCATGTTAAGATATATTATGGCTGTTAGGGGCACTAGGAGCTAGTTGCGAACCAGTGTGCCAATGCAGGTGCATGCTGAGAGCTTGCTGGAAATCGTCAAAGCTTCCTTTTGCCAGTCTCGGCCTCGCGTGGATTTCTTTTTGAGCTTTAGGGGTTGTACGGGATTGTGCTGGTTGGTTGTGATGGTTTGGGTAATTATTCAGGATGTTGGCCGGGCTACGAAGCTCTATGGCAAGTTGGGGTTCCCGAGGAGAGGGGTGCTGCACATTCAAGATTTGTCTGTTTGCTTCGAACGTTCAACGGGTCTTGGTTCTTGCCTTCCACACGGCGCATGCGTGCGTCGCAACAGGGCGTGGAGATTGAGGTCAACCTGCAGGAGTGGGCTGGCCTGCACCAGGGTTCAGGTCGGCCTGGGCTGCAAAGGCTGTGCGGGCGAGCAGCCCTCGCCAAAGTTGAGGAAGGCTGAAATTTGCCCGGGGCAATGCCGTGCGGGTAAGCCGGCTTGAGGTCGGCTCGGGGATGAGAAAAAGCCACGCCGAAACTCAGGTTGGCGGGCGGCAAGGCAGCCCAGGGGCTGAAAAAAAGTGCGGGCAAGCAACTTGAACGGAGGTTGAGGTTTGCCTCGACAATGGCGCTGGGTGGTTTTGTTGGATCCATCGTCACCGAAGGCTCGATGATGCACTGGACGGTGACGAGGGTCCTTGCAACTTGTGATGGCGGCCCTGGCTGGATCAGTCGGCCGACCTTTGTTCAAACCTGAAATGTCTTCCGTATCGTGCAAGGAGACGAAGACAAGAAGGTTCACCTCAAAAGAGTCTCTGGAGTTCCAGGATTTTCAGGAAACACATGCTGCCCTACATATCTGGGGTGGTTTAGGCGCTTCCGGGTTTAGGGCATACAATATAGGGGCATGTCAGCATGTCCAACACCTTTATCTCAGGGCAACACCGCAACACCAACCGCCCCTGGAAGCCTGCAAAGCCGAGGCGCAAGAAGTTTCTGAAGCACAGCCTCAAGGCGTACGTGCAGGAGCGCCGGATGGCGCCGATGCCTTGGTGGGTTGGGGAGAGTGACGGAGAGTGTGTGCACCTTCCAACCCCGACACTTCCCCGCAACTTTGAACTTTGTTGGCTGGATGTTTTGGAATCTGCTACGCCTGAGAAGCACTAAAGAAGCCCTCAAGCCGAATCCCAATCATCAAGTGCTCAGCTACGGGCTCGGAGGCGTCAGGGAGTTAGGTTTGAGCTGTTTCGCCGATTGTGTTGCAGATGCAGTCCAATGCTCAAAAATGAAAGAAAAAATTCCGCTGGGATGGCACACAAAGAAAAGGGCTTGTGTTGTGTTTTTGAGTGGGGGAAGGGGGAGGCAGCGAGGGGATTCTACAGGTCTTTGTGGCTGCTGAGCTGTTCACTACTGGTTTTCAGAACAGCCTGGGCTCAAGATCCAGTTGACCCAGGCTGCCGCCGGAGTGGTCGAAGTTACGTGCGGAGCAACTGTCCCCGGAGCAGTTTGTTGCGCTGACGAGGTTCCAAAGCGGCCCTGAACTTGATGCATTCAAGCGCCTTGTGGCAGTTTACCGTTGTAGTTTTCACTAAGTTCACATAAAATCTCACCTTAGTCTAACAGTAGGACTAGTAGGACTAAGTTGTAGCGAACTCGCCGCCCCACTCGATACTGTCCTGAATCCCCAAAATCGTGCCAGGCTCTCAGAACTCACTGTTGCGAAGGGCCTCTTAAAGCTGAAGTTGATGCCTGGATAGGTGAGGCTTTCCCGAAAGTTGCTTGGTACACGAAGGGTGCCCCTATGCTGTTGCATGCATGTTGCATCTTGGTCACGAGTGGAACGTGAGGAAGGAGGTGGGTGCAGCACTTCACGGCTTTTGGAATTGTTGGTGTGCAGAGGATACGCCCTTCAGTCTTCATCAATGTATTTCGGCGCTAGAAAAATGCAGGCTGCAGGGCGTTTTTGTGTGGGGTTAAGTGCTTTGGTTGCCCGCAACCTTGTGGCTCAGGGGGATGGCAGCTTGCTTTCGGATGCATCTGCAGATCCCGACCATGGAAGTTTCTACTGACATGTCCTGTTTGATTCCGTGTCCTGGGACCGAAACACCTAAACCGCAGACCTTTAACCGGCCTTAAGCTCCGGAGCCGTGTCGTATCAAACACACACACACACACACACACAGACAGACAGACAGACAGAGAGACAATCCGGATCGCATGTCCCAAGCCCTTTGCACAGAAGCCAGGTTCCTTCAAGATCTGCAGGTGGAAAGGGCAGAAGCCCTCAATTTGGCCCCTCAATTTGGCCCCTCAAGTTGGCCCTCAAGCCCTCATGTTCCAAAAAGTGGTCGGCCGAATCCGAAAGCAGCGCTCCGCGGCTGACGCTTTTCTGGAGGCTGCTGAGTCTGCGACTTGACCTGAGATGCTTTGAGATGGTTTTGAGTAAAGAGCATCACATGTCACTTACGTGCTTTGGGGCCTAGAGCTCCAATGCCCGTGTACTTTCAAGTTACCATGCTCAGGCCGTGTCGCCCGAGAATACCCCGGGCAGGGCTTTGGATGTGAAAGGGGACTCGGAGACGGCGCGAGCAGCGCAGGCTCTGCAAGAGGCGGGGGTGTGGGGGCTCAGCGGTCATTGATGGCTTGTTCATGGGTACCGCGTGATCTTTCCAATCTCTGAAGCAGCAATTTTTCCTAGCCCCTGAAGTCCCACTCCCGCATCACCGAAATTCCTGAACCTTGAGAGCTAAACAGCATAAGAAAATTGACCTACTCACCAAGCCTACAGACGGGCTCTCCGCACAAATGCAAACCCCCCCCCCCTCCCCGAAACTCAAAAAGCCGAATGCCCCGATGCTTTAGCGCGTGTCTCCGTTTGACATCACGAGTGTTGCTTTGGGAGGCGAGGGGGGGCGAGTGCCCAGGTGGTCCAGGGAGGGGTGGCCACAGACCATGCAGAGGTGGTTTCCCACAAGGACAGGTTGCTGTGGCAAGACTGGAAGTTATAGTTGATCCGTGCGGCACACTTCCCCTCATCGAAGGAGGATGTTTTCAGACGGATACGACTCCAATTTGGGAGGAGCCAGGAGCAATACAACGTAGCTTGGCTCGAGGACACGCCTTAATAAACCAGGTGCCCGCAATATCCCCAAGAGTCCGCAATAGAAACTCAGGCAGCCAGTCTCAAACTTCCCCCTACAATCGAAACCCGTGTAAAACTCACTGCATGCTTTGAGAAAGCCTTGAGAAGCTTATGCAATCAATCTGGAGCTGAGGCATCTCTTTCAGAGGGACCCCTACGCCTTGTGGGCGAGGAGGAGGCTGCTGGCAAGTCCTCCGCATTCTTTGTCTTCAGCGAGGCGGGTTCAAGTTTGTGGTTTCGGATGCGACGGATTGAGGGTTCTGGAGTTTTTAGAGGTTGGTGCTGTTGGGTCTTGTGAAACAACGACCTTTGCACCACATCACAATTGTGTTTTGCTGGCCATTTGCTGCAAGGATGGACGATACTGCGTAAAGCGGGTCGATCCGAAGGAGGCCCAGATGCTGCTGAGAATCGTGGACGATTACGAGGCCTTGGGCTTGGGCCATTCGGGCGTGAAGTTTTAGGTGTAGCTGTTTGAGCTTGGTGTTGCGAACTGAAAAGGGCGTAATTATGCGTCTTGTGCATGGGCCTCCAAGATGCCGGAGTTAATGAGAGGCCTACATCCACCAGTGCAAAGGGACGCTGCTGCCACGTTTCTACGGACTGTATGAGGTCCGTCTGCACACTGGCAAACCTACTTGGCTGATGGTTCAAGGAAGCCTTGGCTCGTTTGAGAAAGAAACGGTTTTGAGGTCCCGATCTTGCAAAAATCATTTTAAGCACCCATGCTGTTGCTGCTGCAACAGCATCCCACATTGTCAGAACGCTCGTGCCACTGTTGAACCGCAAGGAAACGTCCTGGGTGGGCGCGCTCGTGTTATTCAGCGCTTCGACCTCAAGGGATCCACCCATGGCCGCCGGGCTTCAGCCAAGGAGAGGGCAACTGATCTTAACCGATCTCCTCCTAGCAGATCTCCTCTTCGGGCACCTTTTTTTAGCTTTTGGGAAGCTGCTGCCTGCTTCTAGCTTCTCCAAACCTGTATTGAACCTGAGGCAAAGGGAAGATCATGTGTCCTCAAGGATCTCGACTTCGTGGAGGCCTCTTGCCATATACAAGGCCAAAGTGCAGAGGCCAGCGCAGAGTGGGCGACGTGGGTTCAGGCCATGGAGTCGGATTCGCAGTTTCTGGCCTCGCACTCACTGATCGACTACAGCCTACTCCTGGGTTTCTCGACTTGCTCAGCCGAGTCCCGCAAAAAGCCATTATCGCACATCAAGAGGCTGGAGGTGGCTGCAGCATCCCTGGGGAACCTCCCCATCCAGCTGGCCGAAGATGAGCGCCTTGCCTTTCAAACCCTTGCATCCGGGGGCATGTGGTTCTTCAAGCTTCTTCGTATCTATCATTCAATACATGGCTTCTTCAAAGGATATGGGCGGTTCGAACCTTGAAAACAGGGTGGGCTTAACGAAGCAGATTTCGTGGAGTTCTCCCTCTCCCTCTCCCTCTCCCTCTCCCTCTCCCTCTCCCTCTCCCTCTCCCTCTCCCCTTTCTGTTTCTCGCTCCCGGTCCCTCTCACAAAACGTGTGTGCGTTCTGTAGGCTTGAACGGAGGGTGGGAGGGTCGGGCCATAAAAATAGACAAACCGGCTTTGCGGTGGTCAGAAGCCTCCAAGTGGGCCGTGGCCCTTGTCGCAGAATCTCGGTTTCAACCTATGCCTTACTCCCACTAAACTGCGGGAGTCTTTCTTGGCGTTTTGGCTCTTGCAGTCCGTGTGTTGCAGGTGCCTGCTGATGTATGCTGGGATCATCGACTGTCTCATGCCCTACAACTGGTTCAAGCGGCTGGAGACTTTCCAACCCAAACCCTAGAGGCACTAGACTTTTCAACCCAAAGTGCGAACCGAATCAGTATCGAGAAGGTCTAGGATCCGCAGAGCCCAAAATCTCTTGCCCAGGCCCACGTTTTCCCAACTGCCCCACCAGGAGGTCCCGAAAAAGGTAAACGTGCAAAGACATGCAGAAGCCCCGTGCCCCTAAGTTCCAGAAGCTACCCAAGTTAGCGAGGAGAACCTGCTATTGGATGCGGTGCTGTCGGCCGATATCTCCTGCCAACCTCCCAAGAAGTGCCCGGGCCGTTTACCATGGTTCGTTGAGTGAGATGCGAAAATCATGGGGTTTGCAGCGTCTCGTGCATTCTGGAAAGCCAACATCGTCTGGAAACCAACATTTTCAGTAAGGGTGCATCTTGATTTCAATGCACCGCAGGCGAAAATCGCTCTGTGGCTTGCGTGCGCGATCACCTGCCTTCCCAAGGGTTTGGACTGAAGTAACAGAGTGCGCGTTTTGGATGACTTGTCTGACTCCGGGTTCAGAGTTGAGCTTTCGGGGTTGAAGGATTTGGCGTCAGGATCAAACAGGTGGACGATGCGATTTCTGACGGCGGGCTTCTGCTCGAAACATCACCCGTTCGCTCAGTCGGCGACGGAGCAAACAAGCCCTTGTAGATTGGATAGGATCTGCGTGTGTGTGTGCTACGTGTCCCAGTTTAGGGTGAGGAGCATGTGTCATTGTAAAGGCCGGCTGCCACTGTAGGCACAGGGAGCACCACGCCTCAACTGCACTGCAACATAACTTGCGGCGCATATTTAGTCCACGTCCAGCTTAGGCCAAGAACTGTGTGATAGAAAGCATCCTGAGCCCAGGTATGCCTCGCGATTCCTCAACTTCGTGCGCCTTGACCTCATGTGATAATTTCGGGGACCCGGACCCCAGAACAGCAAAACCCTAAACCCTAAATACCAAAAACTACCCTCTAAACTAATACTCTTCCTCAAGCTCTACAACTAAACCAAGCCCCAAGTTTCCAACCTCTCAAAGTAAGGGGGCCCCAAGAAGGGCCGAAGCTTTAGCCTTGAACCGGAAGAAAAAAAACACAAACATCAACCTCCATACTACGGTTGATTGGCGCGTGTTAAAATTTCAGGGGTGCGGGCGCAGGCCTTAGTTGAATCAGGGTGCTCTGTGGCTTTTCTACGCTTCTAGATGCACCTCCTCCTGACTGTAGATCCCAAGCTCTGAAACCGCACAAATTCACCATTTCAACGCAAATACAAATGGCTAGAGTTCCGAGCGAGTACCTAGAAGCAGATAGGGATTGGCCGGGCTTTTTCCAGGATTTCTTTCCGCTGCCCTAAACCTCAGACCTTCGAATCCTCAGCTGAGAGGCAGACCTTGAGCTCGGCGAAGGATTTGCAGGACCTCACAGCGCAAAGGCAGCGTGACTCGAGGTGGGAACAGATGGGGCAAGTCGGACAAGCGCTAGTCTTCGGAGCGCTGCGCGGGATATTCGAGTTTGGATTCGTAGTCTGCGGCATTGGTCGCGGGCTGCTAGGGTGATGAAGGTGTTACAAGTCATAGGATTCGAGAGGCCTTCGTAAGGGCTTGCAAGGGTTCCGAAAGCGACCAGGCATGGTACTGTACCTTCCAGGTTCTTGCATGGCGGTTTGTCAATGACGTTTGTGGGATGGTGGTTTGCGATCCTTGACTTTTGGTTCGAAGAGTTTCCGGGGTTTGAAAGTGTAGGGAGTTGTCGCTGCAAGGCTTTTGGTGTCGTTAGGGGTGTCAGGTTTCAGGTTCATGTTTTCAAACTTCTGTTGGGAACTAGCCGCATGAGTTTAGACACTGGTGAATGAGCTGCCAGTACTATGGGCCTTAAAAGCTGGAATCAAGAGATAGCCACGTTTGTGTAGGGTACTGCGGCCCCGAATCCCGAAACCCCCCGAATCCCGAAACCCGAAGCCGATGCGCTGACAGGCGACCTTTGGGTGTGCTTGTCGGCGAGATTGGCCGACGCTTGCATCGCAATTGTTGGACTATAGGATTTCGGGGGCTCCCAGTGTACCCTGTGAACATTCACACCTTCCCCCCAAAGAAATGAACGGCATTTTTTCATTAAGCCCGCGGCGTTACAGGGTGGTATGAGGGCTTTGCATGGCTTTGGATGTGTTGTGCCTGGCATCCCGTATCCCAAGCCTGCGCCCTTCACCTAATCACTAAGACTCCGAGGAAAAGACATGCCGAGCCCGTGGCCGGTGCTGGCCGCGTCCATCCTCGGCTTGGGCACCGCAATCATCGCATTCGTGGCGCTACGACACCGGATGGATGCGGATGGAGTGAGGCCATAGACTGAAAGCAACTCTAGAGTGCTGTACGTAAGGCCAGAATCTGTGATCTAAGGGTCTGTATGTTCAGAGAGAACCTTGCGCGCTTTTGGCTCAAGGCTTGTGGTTGCTTTTGTTGCGGATTGAGCTGTGGTTTTTGGGATGAGTTGGGATGTTTGGGATGCTGAGGCTTTAGGTCAGACGTTCTGTGAACTTGATGTTGTGCGTGTGTGGGGTGCAAGGGCCTTTACTGGGCTTCCAGCGCTTGCAACAACGAACTCCTGCAGCTTTGCCACTTTGCGTTGTGGTAGCGCGGCCTCAGGATGGAACCGCCTAGCTTTCGTTGATTTTAACGGTCTTCTGTTCGAAAGGTCTCGCTTCGTGTCTCCGTGTTTATTTTTCATGCAAAGAAATAGGCAAGAGTACTATGTCGGCCGGCAAGTACAAATCAGAACATTACGTGGACTGACTTCTCATAAAATGGTTTAGTGGTCAACGAGTAGCAGATGTTAAGGAGAGAACATGAAATTTATGCTGCGACTGGTTGTTGAGTGCGCTTCCACTGGCAAACACTTTCGGGCCTTGGTATGTTCTAATGCAGTTCCATTATCCTTTGCCCTGGATTCAAGATGAAAGAAAGCATTCCTGTTTAGTCCGGACTCTTTTTTGACACTACAAGACCACCAATCAACAAGAGAAGTCCACTACACACAGGCAGGCTATTTTCGAAGTCTTGTTTCCAAGCCTAAGAAATCTAGCTGTTCTTGCAAAGTTGCCGCAAGCACCAGAGCTCGTCCGAGGTTGTATATACAAACAGCGTATATTGCAGCTTACTTAGCGGTGACCGTTAGAGTGGTTTGGCGTGTAGAACGATAAGGGGTAACCAACAACGATAAGGTTTTTGCAGGGTGGTTGGTCGTGTGTGCTGAGATTCGGTCGCTTGGCCAGGGCCTCCGAACGACAAGAAGCCATAGCGATAGTTTTTGGTTCGCGAAGAGGTGCATCCCTTCAGTTTGCTCGAGCCCAAACGTGCAAACCCTCAGTCCACGAGAATGGCCAGCGCTTGCCCCCTTATGCATTTTACTCTATTTTAAGCTTTTTTTCTCCTGCCAAACACTGTGTAAAACGATCAGGGATGGCATGTTCAGGGACAAGCGATTGGTAATGAGGTCTTATACAGCCCCATCATGCCTCATCTCAGGGTGTGACGGTGACTTTGTTAACTGTGTTACCATTGGGTTTGCCAAACAACAGCCGAAGCCGTGATCTTCCAGACCCTTCAGAAGCACCAGCACTCAAACCATAGAACCCTAAGACTCAAGCCTTACCAGTTTCCCTACAAGGTTCTGAACAGCTCACTTTTCGATCCAGGTTTGGGTTGAAGGGTTGGTGAAGGTTGGGGGGCTCTTGGATAGGGTTAGGTGATTAGGCTTTCAGAGTGAGATTCGGGGATCCAGTTGAAGCGTTCCTGACCTGAGCCTTGGCAGGCGGGCCATTTCCTGACAACGGGTGAGGAAGTTTTTTTCTCCAATGCTTGTTCAGGACTTGCAAGAAAGAGGCTAGAGCTTAAACTTTGAGCCTCGCTCAGCTTTCACTCCACGACTGCATGCTCTGACTCGCAGAGAAAAAAAAGCAACGCCAGCCAATGTTCCCTCAGCCTAAACTTGACATCCCGAGGAACCTCCTTACTTCTTACTTTGAGAATTATTCAAGTTTGGCCGAATCCCCTTTGCTGGGCTTTGAGAAGCCTTGAGCTCCACAGGTTGAACTGCAGCAGTTTTCGTCTTTCCGTCAGATACTTTCTTTGCCCAAACCAAGGGTGGCGAGGATCTCAGCAAGTCTCCTTGCTCGCGTCTCTGGTCTGGGTCTCCTACAGAGAATCCCGCAGAGCTTACCGCTGGGTATCCCTGCCCTCCCAGATCGACAACCAAGTCATCAGAAACGTAAGGGTTTGCTGACGCACAGCTCCCTGTCGTTGGAGGCGGATGGCAGGCCCCAGGCGCTGAGCAGCGCAGCGAGACCGCAGCGAGAGCGCAGCACGGGCCGGAAAAAGCGCTTCCAGGGATCGCGGGATCGTGGGATCGCGGGATCGTGCGATCGCGGGATCGCGGGATCGCGGGCTGCGGGCGTCATCGGATGGGATTGCTCTCACAGGAGGGTTGCGCGCTACAATCGAAAGACTTAGTCGGAATGCGAGTCGTGCGTGGGCGCCGTAAGCGGCACGTGTTAGCCGTAGGCCTGCAAAAGGACCGACTTCAGTCTATTAGTGCCCAAGCACCCCCACAGGGTCAGAATATCCCGAAGTGCCTGCGCAAAAGCGCCCTTACTTGGGACTTGTCTTTTGGTTTAGGCATCCCAGCTCGCGAGAGCTCTGATGTGGCGTGTCCCAGATGCCTCCGTCCCTATGCCAAGCTGTCCACAGGCCCAGATCATGAGCGTTGACCTTGGCCATGAGTTCTTTAAGGCGGACGGGGATTAAATTGAGGTTAGTCGAAGTTGTGTTGAGGAGTGCGGAGGTGTCAGGGAGCTGGTTCGACCCTAGACCCGAACCTGGGCTCGGGGCTCAATGCGCCTAAGTGGCTTAGGCTTATTCGGATTGAAAAGGCCTTGGGCTCGAAGCAAGAAAGGGCGCGTATCCGGGGGGTGGGTTCAACTCGATCGAAAGTGCTGCGGAGGTTTGAGCTGATAAGATTGTCTTTCAAAGGATCTTGGTCTTGGCTTCCCAGTATCCGGCACACCTAGCCGACTAAGCTGGCGAATGCTTGCAGCCGCTGGAGAGATGGCCATGGCTTCCGCGAAGCTGCTTCTATCCCTTCCCCCTAATACTAAATCCCTCCCCCCCCCCCCCCCCCCCCCCCCTAATTCTGAAATTCGCCTGGGCCCGAAAAGTATTTAAAATTAGGGGGGTCCAAATCTTAAAACCTGAATTCCGAAACCTAACTCAAGGGCGAAGGCCCTGAACCCCTCCCCCCCTAATTCTCAAACAGGTTTAGTATT